CTTTAAAAACATGTTTACTTAATGCACCAGTCCCGGTTTGATTAATAAAATTTTGAACTGCGTGAGGTATAAGTTTCTCAATTATTAAAATGATCGTCAGATGGTCGGATATTTATTGTAGGATGAGAAATGTATATCATTTTATTAATAATAAACAAATAATAAAGGTCAAACGTGGCCTAGGAATTCTCTATATTAATATTAAGTTTTAAAGGTCAATTGTGACTAGTATTGGTCGCCAAAACTATTTTGAAGAGGTGAAAGTCAAAACTACAATTAAAAGTTATATGCCAAAACTAAATCAAAAGTCAATAGTGAAAAATCAAAACTAGTTTTGACTTATGGCGGAACCTTTTGACTTTCGCACAATTGCGAAACTCTCTAGTTTTGGAAACCAACACTAGTTGTGACTCAGAAATTCTTTATATTAATATTAATATGTTTTAAAGGTCTAATGTGATACTGAAATTTTCAATATGTTTCCAAAATCCTGAAACTCTCTACATGTTTTCAAGTTCAATTATAGCCTGATTCCTTATATATTTTGAAGGTCAATTGTGATACCGAAATGCTCTATCTTAATATATTTTCAAGTTCAATTATGACCTTGAATTCTCTATATGTTTTAAAAGTCAAAGTTCATCTTTAACATCAGGAATTTTTTTCTGACGTGGATTTACGTAGTTATTACATTATTTACATAAGTTTACGGCGGGTCCCGTAATATTATGCAAATATTACAACTTTACATATTAAAATTTATTGACGTAATATTACGGCGGGGAAATTTTCCTGATGAATTATTATAAGAAAGAAATAGTTTTAAAATGCATAGAACATACCCGTGGGAGAAAGAAATCGATATAACTAGAAAAGTAAGGGTAGCAACCTACCTTTTATTTGAATGTAGCATTATATAGATATTTATACAACATTGCCGTTAGTTGCAACTCCGTAAATTCTGACTCCAAGTTGTATTTGGTAATGTTAATGGTCATAAGTAATTACGTTTTGAATGTCTATATTGCAAAAGTCCAAAATATCAATGTGCTAGTTCAGTATCTTGCTTTGACCAAATCCCACAATTCAAACTAAAGAAATTATTTTGAGAACATTTTGATACTTTAAATACTAGCATACAGATAAATTACGACATAATTGAAAATGCCATCGAAGAAGCTCATTAAACATATGATAAAAAAAAACTCGATAAAAAACTTACAATAAAAAAACATTATTTTTTTTTTCGAATTATTTCTTTATATATATTTATTTAATATTAATATTAATAAAAATACGGCAGGTCACCAAAAATATGTTTTTTCTTATTAAATATGGATCATAAAAATCTTAATCATTGATTGATAAATAATCGCTTGGTTTAGAAATTCTCTTAAGTTTATGCATTTTATTAAAAAGCAATTGTTTATAGAAAACTGTTATATTATCAATATTTTCAAATAAGCATATAAAGTATATTTATATTTATTTGATTATACATTGTTATGTTATTATAGCAATTGTGTTAATAACTATTAAAATACATACTATATAATACATACATAAATAATGAAAATTGATTAATTAGAAAGCTGAAAATTTAACTTGGCCAATTTTTTTAAATTTCTTGTTAATCTTTCTCTCAATAAGAAATTTCTTGCCTACGATATCTTTAACTGTAAGCCCCTCGATAGTAGTATTAGTAAAGCAATCAAAAATTTTTGCTCTAGGAGGATCAATTACCAAGATTGAAAAAAATTTATCCACATTTTTGCTTCCAATGGTAAATCTATAATTTTTAATATTCTTATCCACAAAACCATCGGAGAACACTGCAGTTGAAATTATCTCTCAGGGTTTAGCGCCAACGTCCTCAACAAAGGTAACTATACCTTTGGCTTCATTACTGCCAGCGAATCTTGCAAAAGCACCTTTGACTGTATCTTTTGGTGCGCGTTTTTCCAAGGAGTCTACATCGCGTTTTTCTTCGAAAACTGGTGATGCATGGATAAATGCATTCGAGAAAATCATCATAATTAAAAGAGCAAATGCCAAAGATTTAAAAGATTTTGACAACATTTTTTTTTTTTTTGTATATTAAAATTTTTTTATTGTTATTGTTATTATTATTAAATCTTGAGATGATTAAGAATGATTTTTTGGAAGGAAAATGTGGATACGTTTTATACGTTTTCAACAAATAGATATTTTAGTAGTTGTAAAAACACAAGTTAATTTTATTGGAAGATATAAGTAAATTACATGTACTCCCTAGGCAAAAGTATTTGAACGCCTATTTTTAATAATCATGCAAAAACTCCATAAAACTATACATAATATTCTATCAAAATGTAGTTAGGTTTTGATGGATATGCATGTAAGTTTTGATATTTTTAAAAATTTAGTTAAAAAACCCGAAACTCGACGAGAATCTTTTAATTGTTCAAATTTACACAAAATCCTACAATGAAATTTTATATTAGATCATGCAAAACTCGCATTATCAAAATGTAGCCCAAGTTTTAATGAATATGCACGTAAGTTTTGATATTTTAGTTAAAAAACCCGAGGCTCGACGAGAATCTTTTAATTGTTCAAATTTACACAAAATTCTACAATGAAAATTTATAATAAATCATGCAAAACTCGCATTATCAAAATGTAGCTTAAGTTTTAATGAATATGCATGTTTTGAAAAACTCGAAGCTCGACGAGAATCTCAAAATCCTACAATGAAAATTTATATTAAATCATGCAAAATCTCGCATTATCAAATGTAACTTAAGTTTTAATTAATATGCATGTAAACTTTTGATCTTTTAATTAAAAAACCCTACTCGACGAGAATAATGATGATCATCCATTGTTTATTTTATATTAAATAATGCAAAATCTCACATTATAAAAATGTAGCCCAAGTTTTAATGAATATGCATGTAAGTTTTGATATTTTTAAAAATTCTAATTAAAAACTCGACGGGAATAATAATGATCATCCCATTGTTTTTAATTATTCAAAATCCTACAATGAAATTTTATATTAAATCATGCAAAATCTCGCATTATCAAATGTAACTTGAAGTTCTAATGTAATGAATATGCATGTAAGTTTGATATTTTTAAAATTTTAATTACAAAACCCTGCATAATAATAATAATAACGATGAAAATTTATATTAATATATAGTTAGATTATCAAGAATGTGAATGCAAATTTTGGCCAGTGTATAATCAATATTTTCAATAATTAATAAGTGATCATCGTCAGTTTCGGATTTTTTAATTAAAATTTTCCTAGACGTTCTAAAAATATCAAAATTTACATGCATATCCATCAAAACCTAACTACATTTTGATAGAATTTTATGTATAGTTATTGTGGAGTTTTTGCATGATTATTAAAAATAGGCATCCGAATACTTTTGTCTAGAGAGCGTATAAACAAAAACAAAATATATAAATAGCAACAAAATATAAAATAAATACATGTAAATGATAGTATAAAAACATCAAACTATCAATAAGCTTGTTTTCATTAATCAAATACTAAATGTTACAATATTGCAACAATCAGCCTCTTTGTTGCAGCAAAAAACGTAATGTTGCAACAATCAGCATCTTTTGTTCCAGAAAAACCATAATATTGCAACATACTCACGACTTTACATAAAAAACAATACATGATGCTGCAACGTAACCACGATGCGGTTGGACCATTTTCTATTTATATATTGTCTCATTTTTAAAAACATTATTATTATAAAACATTTGATACGGTAGGACATCTTTAAAAAATAACAAACATGGCTTACACCTAATTTGGTAATATCCATTACCAAGATGGTTACCGGTGTAAAATATCACTATATTTTGGACCAAGCTTGTTTTTGTTATCAATAACAAAATTCATCTTTAATTGTTGCAAGAAAAATATGAAAAAGGAATGGTTTTAACATACTCGTGTGAAAAAAAGAAATTGATATAACTAGAAAAGTAAGGATCGCGACCTTACTTTTTATTTGAATATAGCATTACACAGATATTTATACAACATTGCCGTTAGTTGCAACTCCGTAAATTCTGGCTACAAAGTTGTATTTGGTTTACAACACCGTAATACCGTAATTTTACATTACGGATACCAACTTTAACCACCTAGGTTTTTTTTTCATTAATAAAAACTCTCTATTTTTGCAATATTTAGAACCTAATTAACAATGGAACAGAGAATTTTATTAATAAAAAAAAAGTCTTGGTAGTTTGAAGTTGCTATCAAAAATGAGATTTGGCACACTATGGATCGTTCTATTTGGAAAAAAATCACTGCAATCCGTGACTAGAACAAAATTGCAAACAATAATAATAATTTGGCTAATTCTGATGCATTGAACAAATACCGTAAAGTTCCAAATAGAATCGACATCAATTGAATAAAATAGTTAACCCAAGAAGGTAATAATTTATTATATACACAGAAAAATTAAAATTAGTAGCAAACTAAACCTAAAATAAAATTAGAATTATTATGTTTCACAAAACAAAAGATGGAAATTATTATATTCGTCGTCGCATTAAATCATACAATATCTCAAAAAAAAAGAAAATAGTAGAGTTTGAAAAAATTTATGGAAGAATGAGGCTGGTTGTCAATTTAACCTAGAACCAACAATGATTGGTAAATGGATTAAAGCTTGTGAAGAATGGGATGAATCAGTGAAAAATGAGATAGAAAAGTCTTTTTCCAGAAGCAGAAAAAAGACTCTATGAACGGGTTATTGAACAAAGAAAGAAAGCATTCGCTGTTACACAGTACACTCTCTCTATAACGGTCCTTCTGTTTTGCAAAAAAAAACCCCATTATAGAGAAAGACCGTTACATATAAGGAAATTTGCAGATCATAATCATGTGATCCATTCATCAAAGATTTTTATTAATAATAATTTGTATTTTTTTTATGTTTCAACATCCATCGATTTGATGCCTTTATACATTTTTGAAGGAGTGCTAATTCATTAACATCATGAAGTCATAAGAAAGTTGGAAGGTTGTTCTTATGTCAAATTTACAAATAATTACAGTAAAACTATATTATGAATCAATATTATAGCAAGTCATAGTATTATGATTCTTCTATAACAGATATATAACATGAAAGTCGATAAATGTTTGAATAATTACGATAATAGAAAGAAGTAATAATGATGTATGTATGAAGTAATGTTATGAAGATATGAAATTGTAATAAAGTCAGATTAATAATTTTATTTGTGGTATGGAAATTTCCTAATCTAGCAATTATAGTCCAGATCATGATTGTCGGCCGTTATGGTGAATTTCAGGGACACTATAGGAAATTTAATTAAGACCGTTATATAGAGTGTAGACCGTTATAGAAAAGGTCGTTATAGAGATTGTGTACTTAATATAATATCACAAATCAAATGTAAAAATTTTAAATGAGCCACATTTCAAATTTATATATTGCAAAATAGTAATTTTACATATCATGAAAAATGATCGAGAATTCAAAACATTTAATCACCAATAAAATAATTGACTCGCGGAAAATATCCCGAACAACGGAGAAATAAGTATTCTAACATTTAAAATGTAACAGACCTTTAATTCTCAGATTAAATTTAAACGAAGGAGTTAAATGATTGGATTACTTTAGAAATAACTTGAAAATAATACAGAAGGTTTAAGGAATGCATTTAATTAGAATAAGGATTTCAAAGAAATCGGAGAACTAGATGATAGAACCTTTAACATGTATTGTAATTTTTTTAACTTCATGTATCATCTTTATCATCATCCTAAAATCGTATAATAATAACACTGTCCTTGCCCTTGTCCTTGTCTTCTAATTTTATATTTTCGTAATGACAATAAATCTATCTAACAATGGATTCGTACTAATTCCATGCATAATTACTTTCTCTTATTTTATATTTTTTTATTTCTTTTCTTTTTTTTTTTTTAGTGAGGTAATATTTAATGAATTTCATTTAGTAGTTTTGGGAAACGTGTCTAACTTGAGTAGGGAGTAACAGTTAAGTAGGGCACCCACCAAGGAACGTGATCAGGGTATAGTGTGAAATCTAAAGAAGATATTGTTTAGTATTACTTAGTATAAGGAATTATTTAACGATAGTGAAAGATAGTTTTGAGAGTAAAGCATAAATATACATTCGCGGAAATGTTGTTACTATTTAGTATAAATAAATCGGAAGAAATTGTATTAGCATTGTTGGCATATAATTAAATAAAATATTGAGTTTTACTGCGGATTTTTATATCACAATCTCCAGAAGCTGATAACTTTAAAATGTTGGTTATTTGGATTTTACAACGTAAAAAAAACCTTTCTTGCGAAAGCAAAACAGAATATTTGAGCAACTCCGCCATCAATTAAATTCATTTAACAAATATATAATTAAAAAAAGGTTGGAATTTAATTTAATTACGGATTTTACGATATATTAATATATAATATGGATGAAACTCACAGTATTTTGATATGTTAAGATGATTGACTGTTAATAAAAAAGGTGAAAAAATAGTACATATTAAAAGTATTGGTAATAAAAAAAATAGATTTATTGTAGTATTGACTTGTGCGGTAGGTATTTTTTAATCTAGTAATTTAATCCTTCTTGCATAAATAATTTTATATTTGTTTTGATTAAATCGTTAGAAGTGGATTAAAATTTTCTTTAATTAAAATTGTTAATAATATTCACGCCAATATTATATTTTTAAAGGAAAAAAATTACCGCGAGATCAGCAATTCCTGATGGAGCTGTAGTTTGATTTCAAGAGAAGGGTTGGGTGAATTCTGAACCAACAAAATAATATATAGATATATTAGTTGAAGACAGAGTCAATAAAGGAATTGATAAGGAACACTGCATTAATGGTTTATTTTTCTTTTTCTGGTGACTTAGAAGAACCTGTCAAACAAAAATTTGAGTTCAATTATTTTAATTTAGCTGTTATTCCAGGTGGGTGCACAAGTATCTGCCAACCACTTGATTTTTCAATAAATAAACCATTCAAAGATCATTTGAGAAGGGATGGTGGTAATGGTGGTGTTACTGCAGGTGTTTATCTACGGCGTGCATATATCAGTAATGTTTGCAAAACGCTTGGAATAATGTTTCTTCTGAATTTATATTAAATTCATTTAAAAAATATGTTCGTTTGATGAACCAGAAGATGATAATAATGTTTATGAATTACTTGAAGCATTGAAAGAATTAGAGGAGAAGGAAAATATTGAAGATAGTAAATATTATTGATTTTTATTTGTTTCGCTATTACAACACTGTATTTTCTACTATGGAAATGATCGAAAGATATAGAGATGGGATCTGATTGATTTCGTCGACAATCATTTCGTCGACACCCATTTCATCGAAAGTTTGTTTCGTTGAAAGTTCATTTCGTCGAAAATTATTTCGTCGACAATCACTTCATCGACAATTATTTCGTCGAAAGTTTATTTTGTCGAAAGTTTATTTTGTCGAAAGTTTGTTTCGTCGAAAGTTTTTTCGCCGAAAGTTTATTTCGTCGAAAATTATTTCGTCGACAATTCATTTCGTCGACAGTTCATTTCTACAACAATTTATGTTAATTTGCATGTATTACCAATTATGTTTGAGAGAGCGTGAATTAATTGATGATAACAATTGTTTATTATGTTTATGTGGAATAGGTTTACTAACATATTAGTTTAATTGTTTATTATGTTTATGTGGAATAGGTTTACTAACATATTAGTTTAATTAGTGGATAATTTTGGTTTTAAATGTTTATTTATTTTATTTAGTCGAAACTAATTAAAGATTTAGAGCTATGTTTTAACACAAAATTTTAATCCATGTAATCATTGATTGACCAATCAAAATCGTGAATTTGATAACGTAAAAATAAATGAATTATTTATATTAATATGAGAGTTAATAAAAATATTCGACAAATGGTTCAAATTTAAGAAGTTGGAAGAAAGCATGCGACAAACCTTCAAAATAGTCTAATAAATTAAATTGTACTACTCGAAGATGTATTTAAAGGGTTGGTTTTCGACTTGGTTGAAAAACAACTCTCTTTCTAGCTCTTCTCTTGACCATATCTCTTGACATAACCTTATATAGTGCAAGTCACTTAGTCCCGCAAATTTTTGTTGGCCGTTCGTTTTGCAAACTTCATAGATCTTGACTAACATTTACTTCGATCAAACCCGCCTATATAATTATTTGAATAATTGATAATAATAAAACGTTGATAAATATATTAACTACTTTAATACTTACTTCGATCAAACCCGCCTATATAATTATTGAATAATTGATAATAATAAAACGTTAAATATATTTTGCAAGTTTTATCAATTATTCAATAGTTTGTGTAGGAGTAATTCATATTTGCAGAATTTTCAATCATATTTGCAGATCTCATTGTACAAAAGTACTTGAATTTTTTTTTTTTTTTTTAAAAAAACATTAATAACAATTTTTCTTTTAAAAACATTTATTAATAACAATTTTTTTCTTTTATATGTTTATTATGTAGTATGGTTAGAATTCGATTAGAGCTTCCTAAGAATCAGCAAAAAGCGGAAACAGCTATTTTAACTTTCCTCGAAATAGACATTTATTATTATTATAAATAACATTAACATTTTTTTTACTCGAAGTTCCTTTTATATACTTAATATGTATTATGGCTTAGATATTCAATAAGAGCTTTCTAGGAATCAGCAAAAGCGGAAACAGCTATTTAACTTTCTTCAAAATAGACACTTATTATTATTATACATAACATTGATAGCATTTTTTTACTCGAAATTTCTTCATATGTACTGTAGTATCGTTTAGATAAATCTGATTAACTTTCTAGGAATCACCAAAAGCGGAAAACAGCTATTTTAACTTTCCTCGAAGTAGACAAAGAATGTATGGTAGTAGTATAAATTATTATTGTACATGATGTTATTTATTTAACATACTTTCTTCTTATTTATTATCCTAATTGTATAATGTGTTTCTAATAGAAAGATTTATCTTCAATTGAAAAAATCCACTTGTATATTGATGGCTTATTACATTACACGCTGTATTAAGGATGATAACTTGGAGTTGGTGAATAAATATGTGGCGAAGATTGTATTTATATATTTAATTATTTATACATTTACTGCGTACTGCTGATCTTATATTCTTAACCGTTTTACATAACATTGTTTTTTTTATATGCTATCTTATATTTTTAGATGATACATCAAGTTTCAACTAAGGAATTAGCAGATAAATACGAGGCGAAGATTACAATCTTATTAATTGTTTTACATGTTCATACTATACATGAAGTCAAAATGGTTAAATTATGTCATGTCACATGAGAACCAATGATCTAACTTAATGAAACATGGCTTATTAGAATAGTATTGTAAAGGTAATAATATAGTGTTTTAATGTTCATAATGATATACAGCAAACAAAAATATCTCATTAACTAGTGATTTAAATTTTATGAATTAGACACCTATTACTATTGAGAGAATTCGAATGGTAGTTGATTTTATTCAAAACAGCCAGATATTGGTAATTTCAGTTAATTTGATACGTTTTTTCTCATGATATGTATTACTTTATTAATAGCAATAAAAAATTATAATTCATACGGAATTTCCGTATCTATAGCTCAAATACATGTAATTTCAGTTGATTTGATACGTTTTTTCTCATGATATGGAAAATTGCGAATTTCCGTATATTTTACAATTTTTTCCAGAATAATTCCGTATCTTTTATAATAATCATTTTCCATAGCAATAAAAATTGTAATTCATACGGAATTTCCGTATATAAATTTCTATAGATCAAATATACGTAATTTCAGTTAATTTGATACGTTTTTTAAATAAAACCTCATGTACGGAAAATTGCGAATTTCCATATATTTTACAATTTTTTCCGAAATAATTCCGTATCTTTTACAATAATCATTTCATAGCAATAAAAATTATAATTCATACGGAATTTCCGTATGCAAATTTTTTATAGGGTTGCCATTTGACAAACTGCATATTGTCTAGTTTTAAGAGAATTTATTGTATATCTATCCCAAGAAGGAGATGATGTAACAATTTCAAAGTATCTTCTATGTAATTCTTTATATATTTTGCTATGGAGGAATCCAAGTACTTTTTCTTTTTGTGTTGATGGATGATGAACTTTATAGTATGAGTAAAATTCCATTTTTTCCAAAGGAGGGAGATTGAAATATATATTAGATATAAGGGTCATTTTCATTGTAGTTTTCACAAGGATGACAGTAAAGTGAAAAGTAATACTTGGTGTAGTTGGTTTAAATTTGCTAATAAGATCATCTAGAGAAAAAGGAGTGTATTTGTTTAGAATGTATAAGTAGAATCGAGCACAGTTTCTAAATACATTAAGATGGTCATTATGTGGTGAAGGTGGAATTTTAGTGGCGAAAAATTTGACATAGTCAAGTTTGGTAAAAATATAGTCAAGTAAATTGCATAAATTTTTTGTATTAAATTTTTTTTTTGCAGATTGAAGAGTGAATAAACTAATATCAATATCATTTTTCCATTCAGTAATCAATTTGTTTGGTAGATTA